TTTAGGCTCTGACGGTTGGAAAGGGTTCACAGGGGCATTCAGCACACACTTTGAGGACGGTTATATAGTCTAAGAACATTTCTAAATATCTGAGGGTTGCTAGCACTGATCTCTATGTCTATTTGCTGGATCGCGTTTGACCAGCTCCTCCTATGGAGCGGAATGCGGTCACTGGCGACCATCTTTAGGTAGAGTTATATCATCTCTAGCCATCATAGTAATATGGCGGACAGCGCAATGGCGGCAGGCTGCCATAAAAATAGCCATAGATCTAGTACACTGTACCGTGGGTGACATTTCGTGCTTGATTGAAGTTGTTCGACGAAGCAGATTCTTGAAACCCGGCGTGAACGGTAGCCTCATCTTTGAGGACCCGACAAAAGTTCTACGAAAGCGCAGCACCGGGGGAAAGCAGCGCAGCTCGCATCAAAAGCAGACTCCGTACCGTCGTCTGCTTTCGATGCTTCTTTCGATGCGACTTTCGATACGTGCTGTGCTGCTTTTCTTCCGGTGCTGCGATTTCGTGAAACTTTTACCAGGTCCTCAAAAACCGGACTGCTGTTCACGCCGGGTTTCAAAAACATGTTTCGTCAAATAATTTTAATCAAGCACGCAATATCACCCGCGCTATTTTTATCGCAGCCTGCCAACCCACCTGCCAAAACGCTATCTGCCATGGATGGATGATAGCGGCAGCAGCAGCTTACATTGGCTAGAGGTGATATAACTCTACCTAAAGATGGCCGCCAGTGACCGCATTCGCGGAGCGGGCAAACGCGATCCAGCAATTGTCATAGAGATCAGTGGTTGCTAGCCATTGCTGAGTCGTACTTTGACTCCTATTGCTTGCCTCTGGCACCAATTATTTTCCTATGTTGACAACTAGAGGATCCTTTTTGAATGTGACAGCACTCATCACAGAAATCACGCCTTGCTTCTCCACAAGCTTGTAGAAAATAGTGTGACCATCGGGAGCCCTTTAATATTTTCATTTTATGACTCCCGTCAGACTCCCTAATATTTCGAAACATTTCAAAAACGACGGTGAGCTTATTTGTTCGGTTGCTGTCATCGTCGACTGCCTAGGGTTAGTATGCAACTGCCACATCAAGGGTAACAGTGTTGGCTGCAGCTTGAGAAAATGCGGGTGGACATTGGGAAACAGACACGGCCTTTATTTTAATTACCATTACACCTTGGCCATCAAAACCGTCGGCCGATCAATGACGTCCCGGTAATGACGATTAATGTCGTCGGGCTAAAAATGAAAATTACAGACTTTTTTGTGTGACAGGATTGAGGAAAAAAAATACATGCAAGACAAAGACAAACCATGAAAGATGTGGTTGTGTTTTCTTCGCCTTAGATGTTTTTTTCTTTCTTCAATCCTGACCCGCACCAACACGCTCCTCGTCCACATATTTTTTTTATGTGAGTGTGAACGTTTTCTAAGGGATCGCGTTCTGGCCATACGTTCAGGCGCACAGCATCCTTCGGAGCGGTAAAAAAATGGCGCTTCTCTTCACTTTTCGACGCTTGTGAGGCGTAGACGCTGCGACAGCCGGGGGCGCAGCAGGTCAGAACGCTTTGTCATTAATTGTCGAATGACTCAAATGTCCAGGCGCCAGAAAGCAACACTTAAGACACTTCGACGAGCCACCGATGACACCAACGAAAACACGAGGAACAACAACGAGTACGACACCGCCGAGAATTGATCTTAGTGCCACCGCAGCGCCACCTTTCGCGCGCTCTACGAACTGGTGTGACGCCGTGAAGCGAGTACGCACACTGACCCCCTCTGTACTCTATTTCACCTTATGACGTTCCGCAGGAAATGCTACAAGCGTGAGCTCCTTGCTCTAGAGCATATCTCGGCGGCACAAGCTCTCGTGCATTAAGGGCAGCTGCCAACGCTATGAGCTCGCGTGTCTAGCCTTCGCTGCGGTACGACATAAGGTGAAACGGAGTATAGTAATTTTAGTTATAACAAAACAAAAATTAGGCTTTTTTTGTTTTAATATGTAGGGGTCCGTCAACAAACATTTGTGAAGTTAACTGCACTTTCTTTCGCACTGTAATCAGTGATTACAATTGCGCATGCAGTGATAGAGGGTGACTATTTCCTTCTGACAGCGATTTAAATCACATTTGTCTGATTTAAGTCATGCGGTCATGCCTCGTTAATTAGCACCTCGTTAATATGAATACCCCGCTACATAGACATAATTTTCAGAAACAAACTAAAAAAAAAAAGAAAGATACATGCATTTATGTCTCGTTATTATGCACAAGTCACACTATGGACGGCGTTTTTATGGAACAGATCTGTCCCTGTTAAAAAGATATCACTCTATTTATTTAATAAGAAAAATCATCATATTCTTCCACCTTGGCTTGTAAGCTTTCACCGTTGAGTTTCTCTTCCCCATCGTTTCAGTAGAAAGCTCTTCGAGGCTTACCTAAGATTTATGAGAGTTTGTGTTGGCAGTACAAGCGTTTTTGAGACACGCCTGGCCCAAAACTAATTTAAACCTTTGCTGTAATATGAGGTAGTCATGCTCCGGAGATTTGATATTACGGTATGCCAATAACGACAAGGTTTACGGTTTCGCTTCGCAAAGACCGGTACCTGGACCGCGCGTTTTTTTCTTCTTTCAATGCTTTGCTCCAATTACTTAACCCTGCTTAATAAAAGAAAGATAGGACATTTTCGTTCCCAACGTCAATAAGATTTGAAATCTCAAGCGTCGTCAAAAATGCTCGCAACGTTTCATGGGTAAAACATGAGGGCGACACAGAAATCAAGCAACGCTTTTCTGATTCTCCCCGCTGGCTTATTCTGCCCAATCTATTTTTTTAAACCGTTATTATGTTACCGGCCGTGAATCCACACCGAGTTTGCGCGGACACGCTTCGCTACCCCTTCCCCAATCTAGTTAGCTTCTCCGCAGTACTTTGGCGCGCAAGGTGAAGCCCTCACTCAATTGGCGTTCGCGGGCAGCCTGAAAACGCACGTCCGAAATACCTACGCTCTACCCTGAAGCAATACTGCACCTTTTGAACTCTGCGGAGTAATAAAGCCAAATCAAGACGTCCTTTTTTTTTTCTCTTTTTTTTTTTTTAAAGTGGAATTGTTTTGTTTCTTTGCTCGACATCAAGAGGGTAAACAAATGTGAAAAAGGGATAGAAAACCCGAATATACACAACAAGCAAAAAATCAAAAAAGAAAAAAAAAAAAAAAATCAAATTCGGAAAAAAGAAAAAAAAACTTTAGGGACGCTTAAGCTTCGCCTTTGAGGGTGGAACGCGATAGCGTTATCGGGCCCCGTTCGCAAAGCCGCGCTTGTTCCGAAGCCGTGGAAACATGCGTGCGTGGCCTAGCCGGTCGCGTCACGTGTGTTCATTAGAATTTTCCCGCCCAATTTAGGTGGTCGATAGGACCATGACGTCACAGTCACGTGTGACGTCACACGTGGCTGCGCGCGTTGCAATATGGGATTTTTTGGTCCTAGCGACGCTGACGTCGACGCCGACGCCGACTCTGGATTTTTTTGCTACACGAGCTCTTAAACGCTATCGCGTTAAAAGCCACATATACTCATACAGTCACATCTATTCACTCTTTCTCACGTGAGTTGAAACGTGGTGGCGCCAATGTGCAAATAGCCCCCCCCCCCCCCCCCCCCCCCGACTTCCGGTTCTGAACTAGACGGCGGGTTTCGCGGTATTTGAGAAGCCAACTGTACATACTGTCTTCTGGAAATGGCCACGTATAGCACGGTCAGACTTAATTCACTCTTCTGATAAGATAATAATAATATAAAATTAGAAAATATGCGTGAACCGGAAGTGTGCAGGGTCTATCCGGTAGGTGGCACCACGGAGCTTGTTGCCAAACAAAAAAGGGCGAATACGCATATACAAGTTGCCCCCAAACTTTGTCCTGATACGTCGTGGTTCCCGTGGCGTTTTTTTTTAACATGAAACGTTCTTTGGTAGTTGTTCTGTATTTCATGAAGCCGGATTATGTTTCCCCGGAAAAATCTACGGCACGTGACTTTAACACCAATTCAGTTTCCCCGCCAGATTTAGCGGGGAAATTGACGCCACGTGACGTCAACGCCGATTCGATTCCCCGCAAAATTTAGCGGGGAAAACTATTTGAAATACTTTAGATTTGAGTTCTAATGAAAGAATACATAGCGGATAAAAACAATTTTAACTTTTCCAAGAAATCGCTTAGAAGCAACACATTTCCGTGGAGAAAGCCGTTCTCTGGCCAGATGATTGCTAGAGATGAAAAATAAAAAGGGGTAGGGGGAACGGTGACGTTTTCTTTTTATAAAATTAAGTACAAGTCTTATCGGAAGTGTGCACGTGTACATATATATATATATATATATATATAGCTCGTTGAATAAATAAACAAACTGCAGTAAAATCGATGCTGAGCCAATTGGTTCACCATGTAGTACAGAAAAGCAGCTTGCACTCTTATTTTATTTTTCTTCTTTCTTATGTTTATTCGGACGCTTTTTTTTTCTGTACATGATGAGCCAACCGGCCCACACCACTTGTTTAATAAAGGCTTAAACTTTTATGTTCCTTCATTTTTGAGGGGGGTTACACATCTCGTGAGCAGTAGCGGAAGTTTTAGCAAAGGTTATCCTCTCACATCCCCAATAACCACCTTCGAGACTATTTCGTCCTTTGTGTTGTTACACTCATTTGCACATTTTGCAATCGTCCCGATTGACAATAACAACAAAAATAAACAGCAAGATAAGTTGAGTGTGTAAAACAGACGCCCAAACCAGAACGCCGCAACGACCAAACACGTCTGCCGCCATCACCAGCACGACCGGAAACGCTCACCTTCTCTCCCTAGCCACGCCGCGCACGCGCAAACCATTCGGACTCGAGCCCGCTCAAGCGCGGCGCGGTGCGCGCGGGCGCCCCCTACATCCGGTTGGTGGCCGCTCGCAGCCGCCAGCAGCAGACCGCCCCCACCCTCCTTTGCGAGCGAGGGATCCAGTTGCCTAGCGACGGATACGGGCTGCGCCGGGAGAAGCGCTCGCTCTCGATGCAGACGTAGTCGTGGGGCTGTCGGTTCGCTGGACACGACGACGACGTCGACGACGGGTTCCCGAGGATACGCGATGCACGTCGTCGTCCGGTGCGCCCGTCGCGGTGGACCCGGGGGCTAGCCGCGCGACGACGACGACGCTGCCCTGAAGATGCGGGTCGGCTCGGGACGGCCGGAGACGGTTCGCCGGAACAGCGTCTCGACGGGATAAGAGGGTCGTCGTGGTCGTGGCGACGATCGTGGACGGCCTGTCAAAGGAAGAGCGCTGGTAGCCGGACTGCGCTGGGTGGCCGGGAAAGGTGAGCGAACGGACGGTCTCTCTTCTTCGACGGTCTTCGGGGACATCCGCGATTCGGCTGTCCGCATGCGGGCGCTGTGCGTGTAAATGGGAGTCTGTACTTGGGACTCTGTGCGTGCGTGCGTGTCAATCCGGGGTGTTAGTGTAGGTTTGGGTATGGGTGGTGTATCTGTCCGTCTGTCTGAGCGTGTGAATGAATGACCGCGAGGGTAGGTATACGTACGTGTCTGTGCGCGAGTGAAGAGACGACGGTCAGTGTAGCTATGGATCAGTAAGTGTGTGTCTGTTTGATTTCTACCTGACGGAATATGTGTTGTAATACCGTGAGTTTAGATATAGGTATACGTGTCCGTGTAAATGAATGATCGTGAGCAAAGGTATGGATACACGTGTACGTGGGTGTGAATGAATGACCGTGAGCATAAATATAGATACGTGTGTGCATATGTGCAACTGTGTAACCTTTTGTATGTGTGTAAGTGTGAATGTAGGACCATAAATGTAGCTACGGGTATGCGCGCGCGCGCGTGTATATGTGTCTGTCTGTGGGTAAGTGGGTGTCTGTCTGTAGGGGTAGTTGTGAATTTAAAAGCGTGAGTGTAGGTATAGCTACGTCTGCGGGTGTGCGAATGAATGACCGTGATCAAAGGCACGGGTGCATCTCTGCGTGTATTTGACTGCGGGCTTGTCTGTCTCTCTGTACGGGAGTATGTGTGAATGGATTACCGTAAGTGTAGCTATTGTTAAGTGTGTGTTTGTGCCTATATGTTTGAGCGTATGACCGTAAGTGTAGATAAGAATACATGTCAGCGACGCAGCGCGTGGCTGTTTTTATGCTTGTAGCTGCGTGTGAATGTATGATCGTGGATGTATGTATGACTATGAGTGCGCGAGTGTGATTCTCTATACCTCGTCTTAATCTGTGACCGTTAGTGTAGGTATGTGTATATGTGCCGTATAGGGGGCTGTTAGCGTGTGCGTACGCATTTTGTTGTGGTTGTTTCTTTAATACTTATGTATGTTAATTTATTTAGAAGGAACCTACCGCATTTACTCGAGCAATAGCCGAACTACTTATGAACAAGTACCTTGCGTCTGCTTTCCCACAGAACACATATACAGCCAATCATTGTGTTGCGCATAAATAGCATAGCGAATAACCAGATCGAGAACACGATTTTTTATACAAATGCAATCTTCACAGATGGTGTCTCGCGCGAAGACGTTATCTCTGTCTTGTAAACTGCTGGAATCATGATGTCGATAGCGGAGATTGGCAATCCGCGTGCTCCACGGAAAAGCAAACCCTCTGGATTTATTTTCATAAACAGTGCGGCTATTACTCGAATAAACACGGTACACCCGTGAGCGATACAAAGGTGAACAGCCCTCTTCTTGCTTTTTACGCTCCTGCAAGGTTTGGAACAAGCTCTGTTCCAGAGGAGGGCTAGAACGCAAAGTATAGACCCCAAGCCACGTACCATTTTAGACGTTGAGAGTTAATGTAGCTTTAGGAAGCCGTAAAACAGGCCAGAAACCAGGTAAGGTGTTCACCTTCATATTGCCGGCGGGTGTACATCGCTTTGTGGGCAATATTGTGTTTTTTTTTTAAATAATACACTATGATAAGTGAAAAAACAATAAATCGTTACCGTCAACTGACATGATCTCTCCCGGAAGGTCATTCCACTCAATCGCGGTTTTAACAAAGAATGAATTGGCAAAACTGTCAGTTGCAGAACTGGATACAGCAACTTTTTTAAAGTGATCATAAAAGGAGGAACCGTAGGATGGCTCCAAAAATAGGCGGCTTTATCGATCCCTGTTTCGTAATGAAATACACAATGGACATTTTTTAACCTTAGTTTTTTTCTTCTACATTCGAGTGTTTCCCATTCCAGAACAGCTTTATTTATGTAACACTAGCATAAGGATCATAGTTGTTGAGTGTAAAGCACGCTGCCTGATTCTTAATTTTCTGGTTTATTTATAAGAAAGTTGTGATATGGGCCTCACAATTAGGTAAATCTACTTAAGTCGAAAGATTCGTTCGGAAGTGAGTCGTCGCATGTCTCTCTCCCATAATCAAGCATATTAAAAAAAAAGAAACATATCTGCTGCATTCTAATCACCTACCCTCTGGGAGATCCATAAACTGGCAGTTTACTTCGAACAGTCACAGACGTGGCTGCGCCTTTGGCACCGTCGTGAGCGTCTATTGAAAAGAGGCGTTCTGAAGTTGAGATAGCAGTGACTTCACTTCTCCAATGCCGATGGTGGCATTCTCTGTGACTTGTCGAAGACATAAAGGATAGCGCAAACGCAGTCAAATAAAGGGCAAAAACAAGGCGGGTCATCAAATAATTACTACGAACCCCCTGTAATTAGCTGATAGCGTGTAATCGTCATAGGGGCCGACCGTGCCTGCATCGAAGGTGATAAGTAGGGAAACAATTAGCATTATTATTGTATTATTATTAATAGTAATATCATTATTATTAAATATGAGGCGGATGATATTATGAATTGAAACGCCTGGCATCCGCCCATTCTGTTGCTCGGCGCCAGTCGGTTACGACGAAAAAAGCCCATGTGTGTACCCTAAGGGCCTGACCCCAACTGGAGTGTTAACCATTAAAATCTACTTGCAGACACTTACAAATACGCCTGTCTAGCAACCAGTTTTTGACGTTCAAGTGCAAACTACTGGATTACATAAAACATGTATATGTGCAAAGTTTCTCGCGTCGCCAACAAAAGCTTACACCCCTGCTTTACGGGTACAAAGGTTCTTCAGGACAAGCATTTTGAAAGAGCCGTCGAACCAGCGCACGCCGATGGGCATGCGCAGAACCGAGATCGCGAGGCGACTCACCGATTCTTCAAAGGAGTTCATTCTGAGGGCCTTTTAGATGCCCCTAAAACAGAGTTTATCTTGTTTTATTGTTGAAAAAAGAACACACAAGAAAGCGCCGTTTGTTACGTCAGGAAGGCAACGTCCTGTCTGCAAAGACATCTTCGGCTAGTTAGGAGAGGCGGGCTTAGCCGATCGTCTCTGAACGTTCGACTCACACCACCAAAAGGTAAAAATCCCTCCCACCCAACCCGCGATTCTGCCAAAGCCCCATCACATATAGATAAAACATATAGGCTATTCCTAAATTTCCGTCCTATTTTTTGAAGCCACTTTTTGCGATGCCCGTAAAGGAGGTCCCCATCTTTCCCCCCTGTCTCTCAACGCGTTGTCCTCTGAACAGTTTTAGAAACTTGTTCCCCCCTCTCCCTCCCCCCCCCCCCCCCCCCCGCCCCCTACCTGGCTACATCGACCCTGACTTTGTAAGCACGAATACCTCCACACAAGCGACACACTACTAAAAGCCGCGCTTTATGAAACACTTCTAAAGGGATTGGGAAACTGAAGTTGTTGCTCGAAAACACAACGGCACTCCCTTCTCCGCTTGAGATTACCTCCGCAAGACGACGCATCTGACTTCTCAAGGAACCGAAGCGGCCAATCGGTTGCCGGCCTTTCTTTTTTTCCGTCCCACTCCTATTGAGGGATACAGAACCTGCATGTTCAGCATTTAGGAGGTCCTGCTAGTTTTGTGATGCCTGCGGCTTCAGGTACGAGAGATTTTGGGGAGCTTTAGCAATTCGTTTCTGACGGCCCGATGCCTCTCTCGGCGATCACTTCAAAGCGAGTATCCCTCGATATCGAGTCTCGAGCGGATCCCTATGCCAATACCGTTCTACGAAAACACGATGGACCAAAAGTTTCTTGTATATTTTATTATTTCTGATGTTAAATTTGACCGTTTCTCTTTCTATTTTTTTTTTTTTGGAAAAGGGGAGGGAGAAGAGGGGGTAGCTAAAAAAGAAAAGAATTGTTCTCCACATGAAATTCCGCTTTCTCTTTGGCGAAAACCACCGCCTGAAATGGGGAGCGCATTCGTGTTTCACTCTTTATGAACGGAAGAAGTTTCAAGTGAAAATTTTGCGTCTAGCTTTCAGTGACCTGACGGGGATTGTAAAAATTAGGTACTTGCAATTAATAAATTCTCTGTATCCCAAGCCCCGTGGAACGCCCGAGAAATGCACAAAAACAGCTTGTTGCACAAATTATGTTTTTTTTTCTTTCTCGCATATTTCCCAAGTGGATTGCGCCTTACGCAAATAAGTCTCACGCCTAATCACGAGGGCTTAATCCTTTCTAAATGTGATCGTGACTTTCAATTTTATAGTTTGTACGCATCTTTTTTGATAGCATTTTCTGTTTCCCGAATGGCTTTGTTATTACTGATCTTGTCTGCACCTGCTATAACGCTTCAGCAATGCAGGTTTATTAGGAAAATAATAAAAATATATCATTTTATTTGTGAATTCGTTACATTAACTATAGTCACACCACAGTTTCAGAAAGGCAGAATGTGGCTAATTCTGAGCATCTCACTATCGCTCCTCAGCCAATGAGATTTTGGCATTGGCCGAGAAATATGCCAAAGAACCAATCACAAAGCAAAAAGGCATAAACATAGTAAACCTCGCTCCCTAAAAATAAAAAGAAATCTGGTAGCGAGTTTTATTTTTAAAGTCCTATAATGCACAAAAGTGCGTTATAGTGAGGAAACTGGTATGTCACGTGACACATATCTTCCGTTAAGTTTAGCAAGAAAAACTTAATGGTTGTACAGGTGACGTAACGTCAGGTAGTCACGTGACATCGATTTTCCCCGCTAAATTTAGCGTACGGAACTGGATCGGCGTCTGGGTCACAGAAGACGTGAATTTTCCCGCTAAGTTCAGCGGGTTTACTGAATCGGTGCGTAGGTCACGGGATGTCAACTTCCCGCTAATTTTTAGCGGGAAAACTGAATTGATGTTTTGGCCACAAGACGTGAATTTTCAAGCTACATGTAGCCGGGGAAACTGAGTTGACATGTAGGTCCCGTGCCGTCGATTTTCCCGAGGCCTCTAGATCACGTGATGCCGCTTTCCCCACTA